TACAAAGATGACCAAGATGGGATCCTTGCCCCTCAGAGCTAGGTAGGAAGGCTGAAGGAGACAGAAACACGCACAGTGAACTGTAATTACGGAACAAATGATATAAAACTGGTGTAGACAAAGTGGAAACGAACACTGCCTGCCTTTGGGGGACCATCAAGGAAGGGTAAAAGTTTGATTAAGTATCCTAAATGTAGAGAAGAGCTTGAGGTATGAATGTCAGGATGTAAGAACCTGAATGTGTGGCAGGAACAAAAAGCAGATCAACATGAAACCAGAGACTCTCTTTGTAAGGGATGATGAGAGAGAAAAGTTCTTTGGGGCCACCTTGTGGAGGGCCATTCCTTCCTTCAATAAATGTTTATTTAGGGACTGTAGTTGGCCAGGGGCCAGATTTGGTTCCCCTAGTCCTTTGGAGGAAACCCTGGTGGCATAGTGGTTAAGAGCTATGGCTGCTAACCAGAAGGTCAGCAGTGTGAATCCACCAGTTGCTCCTTGGAAACCCTATGGAGCAGTTCTGCTCTGTCCTGTAGGGTTGCTATGAGTCAGAATTGACTCAACAGCAATGGGGTTTTTTGTTTTTTGTTTTTTTTTTTTCAGTCCTTTGGAGGAGCCCTGGTGGCACGGTGGGTAAGATCTTGGCTGCTAACCAAAAGGTTGGCAGTTTGAAACCACCAGCTGCTCCTTGGAAACCTGTGGGGCAGTTCTACTCTGTAGGGTTGCTGTGAGTCGGAATAGATTCAACAACAATGTGTAGTCCTTTGGAGGGTGCATAGTTGTTAAGTGATAGAATTCTTGCCTTCCATGTGGGAGACCCTGGTTCGATTCCTAGCCAGTGCACCACAGGTGCAGCCACCACCCATCTGTCAGTGGAGTCTTGCGTGTTGCTATGATGCTGAACAGGTTTCAGCGGAGCTTCCAGACTAAGACAGAAAAGGAAGAAAGGCCTGGCAATCTGCTTCTGAAAAGCAGCCAGTGAATATTCTGTGGATCACAACAGTCCAATCTACAACTGGTCATGGGGATGGTACAGGGTTGGACAGCATTTCTTTCCATTGTACATGGGATCTCCATGAGTTGGGGGCTGACTGAAGGACAGCTGACAGCAACAACAGTCCTTTGGAGCTGGTGGACTAGTTCAAGAGATGGCCGACTTAAATAATGTGTGACGCATTTGGATTCCTGCCTCAGGTTCTTGATTTTGTACTCCTAGTGCTCAGCACAGAGCAGATGCTAACTAGGTGTTGATTGAATGATTTTGAGTTTCTCAAGACCAGAGAAAGCAGGGCAGGCTCTGGAGAGTGTGGCAATACCAGGTTACCTTGAATTTCCTCATAGTAGAAAGTCCTGATCCTTTCCGAGTTTTGGAAACAGCCAGAAGTCAGTCACGAGCCAAGATGTTATGTTGTTGAGTAAGTGGGTGGTCAGGTTAGAGAATATTCTTCTTGGGTTAAAAAGTAAAAACAAGAAGTGAGGTGTGTCTCTGATGAGATTTGCTGGGGTGGGGTGGGGCATGGCAGCTCACTGACTTGAAAGCCCTTTTATGTAAGAGTTCCAAAAATGTTGTAGACAGGTACCTCCAGAACTGGGGAGATTCAGCTGGATGTCTGTTTGATGTTGTGTTTATTAAAAACTCTCTCACTAATTATCTCTTCTGTTGTCTGTAACTCGGCCTGATCCTGAGTCAGTTTCTCAGGCTTTCTGCCTTGGAGTCTATGAGGATGATGGCTCATGCTGTGGCCACTACCACCCTGACACCCAAAAGTCAAAAAGAAAAAGATCCCTCTCAAGAGTTTGAGAATTTCAGATCTGGGAGGAATGTGTGTTGGTTATCTGTGTCTTGTCACTGTGGAACAAGAGGAGAGGAGCAGCCAGGTTGAGGGGCTATCTTAAAGTCTTCTGCCAGCTTGTTGAACTCTCCACCAGGGTATGAGGAGGACAGCTGTCTGTACACTGGCTGCCCTGGAATGCTGCTGAGCAATCTTGAAGTGCCCTGAGCCGTGCATTGTCTATTCATGGCCACTGTGTCTGTGAAATGGGGTTTGGTGACTGTCACTGTGCCCGTCGCCAGTCTGGAGTTATCCAGAAAGAACAAAGCTGCATACATGGCGTGCACAAGAGAGTCTTGTAACAAGCCTGTCCCACTTTCTAGGGCTGAGTCAGGTACCATGGCTTGATCTTAGCTGCCCTCTTTATTTCAAGAAGTTGGCATCTGAGCCATGCCAGGAGAATTGTTTTTTGTTCCAAGCATCTTCCTTTTGGAGGGGCATAGACTGTGTTTTTTGCCCATGCAGATCCTTCCACCTGCACAGCCCTTCCCTGCCCTTTCTCAGTCTTTGTTAAATCTTCCCCATCTTTCAAGGCTCAGCTCAAGTGTCAGCTTCCTTTACAAGACTTTCCTGGTTCCCCTAGTTGGAATTAGCAGGAACTACCTAAGGTGGAATGGAAAGAGCATGGGCTTTAGAATGAGCCAGACCTGAGTTTGAATGATAGATCTGCCACTTTACCTATTCCCCCACCATGCCTGCACCTGAGTTTTGGTTCCCTCATCCATTAAACGAGTATAATAACACCATGTCTCAAAGCATTCCTCATGCTGACATATAACGATAATACCATGTCTCAAAGCATTCCTCATGCTGACATATAACGATAATACCATGTCTCAAAGCATTCCCCATGCTGATATATAATAATACCTACCTCACAGGATTGTTTTGAGAATTAAATGAGATTGAATCTATAACAGAACATAGCACAGTTCTTGGCATATAGGAGGTATTCAGTAAATGTTTGTTCTTTCCTTTCTATACCCTTAACTGTTTTTTCTCTGAGCTATAACAGCACTTTGTTTCTACCTCTGAAATAACACATAAGTGAAAAATTACAATCTGGAAGAGTGGTTCTTTCCCAATGGATTTGCTCCTTGAGAAAGAGCTCCTTGAGGCCAGGGATGTTGTTATCCAACAGTCCCCAATGTAGAGCTTTGCATCAAGAGGACCCATGATGTTGGTTGAATGAATGAGCTCCTGGACTAGATGATGGAAGATCTGAAAACCAGGGCTTTTGAGGAACAGTAAAAGGCAGTAACATGTTTAACTCAGAGAAGAGAAGTGTCTGGAGGCTAGCTAGGAATAGTTGTAGGGAGAGCCGACATTGAAAAGAGGGAGACCCTGCTCATTTCTTCTATCCAGAGCTATAAGCAAGGGCTAAAAGTTCTAAGAAAAGGCAGGTTTTGTCTCAGTAGAAAAAAGGCATAATCAGCTTTTTTGAAAAAAATGGAATGAGACTATTGTTGAAGCCATAAATTCCCTGGCCCTGGGTTGGTGAGCAGAGGCTGGATAAGTGCTTACCAGAAATCTTGTAGAGGAGAGAATTGGCCTTCTAGCACAGTCAGATGTGATTCCTTCAATATGAGATTCAGTGGCTTAGTCTTATATTACATGATAGGAATCCTGCCTCTTTCCCCTTCTTTGGGCCTCAACCTCTTGGTTTTGTGTGCAGGTGAAGATTCCTGGAGGTGTCGGGGTTGTGGGGACCATGTCACTCCCAGCCAGAGGTTGTACAGGACTGTCAACGAAGCCTGGCACAGTTCTTGCTTTCGGTAAGTTGGCCTGTCCTTCTGTCTTTTCCAGTGCACTACAGGCCAGGCCCTAGTTCACGTTCCAGCGAATACAGAAACAAACTTCTGACTCGAGAATTTCAATCTCAGTTGGGGGAAAGGAACGTGCTGAGAATACTGGGCAAACCTCAGGTGTGACCTCTATGAGGCCAGTTTAACATGGCCCTCGATGGGGGAGGAGCCGCAAATGGGCCAGGTGCAACTGGAGGCAGGGTGGGGGAATGGGAGGAGCCCTGCCCAGGGTTGCCTACCCTCTCCACTGCTGTCAAGTCGATTCTGACTCACAGCGACCCCATAGGGTTTCCAAGGCTGTAAATGTCTATGGAAGCAGACTGCTGCATCTTTTTCCTGCTGATGGTTTCGAACTGCTGAACTTTCTTTCAGTTAGCATTCATTTGCTTTAACCACTGTGCCACCAGGGCTCCTTAGGTTTGCCCAGGACCCTCATTTTATAGGTAAGGAAACCAGGGCCCAGAAAAGGTGACTTTCCCATAGCTGCACTATTGATAATGCAGGCACCTTAAGGGCTGTTTGCAGCTAGCTCTTCTTCACTGCAGGGGGCTTCCCTGGGTTCTTGCTTTCTGTTATTAACTTTATTTTAGATCTTAGATTATTGTTTTGAGGCAGCTTGGTGTTGTGAAAAGAACAACAGCACATGGTAGGCACCCACTGAATGGTTATTCCTTTTCCCCACAAGACTGGAATCCTCAAGGGTAGGAGCTTGTCTTTGTATTTTATGGAACATAAAACAGTGCCTGGCCCATAGTCATTTGATGTTGGTGGAATGAAAGGAGCTGTTCACTCTGGAGTATGGGTGGGCATGTCTGGCCCCAGCGGACTGAAGTGATGGGACTGTGCTTCTGTCCTGAGACTGAAACAGAACTGTAGACAGGCGCCATATGCCGTGGATTCCAGCTCCCACACATAGCTTTTGTCCCAAAGCATCCTCTATGCTGATAGCAAGCAATTTGGTTTGACCTGTAAACTCTTGCCTCCACCCGGGAACTATATGGGGAGTTGGCCTGGAGAGATTCTGGCCTCTGAGAGGAGAGCTGGAGAGGAACCAGCATTGTTCTGCCCTTTCAACTCTAACTCGGAGCTCTCAGATCTTCTCGGTGGATCTGGTTGCCTTGGTTCCTCCTCCTTTTTTCCCAAAGAAATTGATTCTGCCTTTTTTGTCCAGTTTCCTATGATAGGATCAAAGCACAGAATTATAAGGGACCTTATAGATCAAACCTTTGTTTATCCCGTTCATTTTACAGCTGAAGCTAGTGGACAGAATCAGAACCCAACTCTTTGAGTTCCCAGACCTGGTCTTGCCTTGGCATCCAACCCATATGGTCACATTTGTTCCTGGTGTTTTTCCTGCCGCCGCCCCCCCCCCCCATAAGCCAGGACAGGGTAAAACAAGTCTTTGGAACTTATGCATTTTCCTAGAATTAAAGAACTTCAAAACTAGAAGGAACCACCTACTGTACGGTATAGCCCCTGCACATCAAGGTTGAGAGGCCTGAAACCAAAAGCACTTGCTCAAGGTTACGCAAACAGGCTGTGGATGGCAAAAGCTGGACTTGCCACACACCCACCCACCCACACATATATGCACATAAAGAAGACATTGCAGTCTCATGTGTTTTAGAGTAGGACTGTGCTCCACAGAGTTTCCAATGGCTGTCATCTTTCAGAAGTAGATCACCAGGCCTTTCTTTCAAGGCAATTCTGGGTGGATTTGACCACCGACCTTTCGGTTACTAGCCGAACACTTAACTGTTTGCACCACCCTTCAGCATGGTGGATAAGAACTGCACGCTGTAGAATGAGATTGTCTGTTTTCAGGTTCCGGCTTTGCAGCTTATTAACTGGCCTTCGGTGACTTCCCTGTGCTTCTGTAAAATGGGGATAATAATACTACTCATACCACAAGGTTATTGGGGAGGATTAAATGAGATAACTTATATAAAGTGCCTGGTGTAGCACCGGAAACATGTTGTTAATTGCCGTCAAGTTAATTCTGACTCATGACAACCCTACATGTACACAGTAGAACTACTCCATGGAGTTTTCAAGGCTGTGACCTGTTGGAAGCAGATTGCCAGGACTGTCTTTCGAGGCACCCCTGGGTGGGTTCGAACCACCAACCTTTCAGTTCGTAGTCAAGCGCTTAACTGTTTGCACTACCCGGGGAGTCCCACCTGAAACATAGAAAACCCTTAATAGTCAGCAGCTGTCATTCTTCTACTATGTTGTATTGTATCTATAGGTACCTACATTTATCTCTCTTATTACATACTCATTGGTCATCTGACACAGAGCCTTAGGGATTAAGGGCAACTTTGAACTACCCTGGCACAATTAAAGCAAAGATCGTGCCTGTGGGAGAAGTAGGGCATCAGCCCTATCTGCAGCTTCACGTCACAGACAGAGACTGTTGAAGGAGCCCATCTCCTGACTCCTGAACTTTCCCACAGAGAGTCCAAGTAGATGACCAGTGGAGCCTGGTAATTTGCCCTGGGGAGACTGACTGTTTTTTGGAGTCAATCTGACTTTTGTCCACATTGGAGGAAGATCTTCAGGGCTGGTAAGGACTATATTTTTTGACCCCAGAAGTAACCTGGGTTAGGAGGAGCTTGGGGCATCAGCCTGAATGGTCTTTGAAAGTCTCTTCTACCTCAGCTCGTCTGTGACTCTGATGAGTCTAGAGCATCTGAGTGTAGACTGCTGGAAACAGGACCCTTCCGTTTCCATGAAGAAATTCATCCTTCATGGCCCTCTTCCAATCTTGCTTTTATCCAGCTGGGCTACAGTTACAATAAAGGAAATGGCTTTTCTTCTCCCCCGCCCCCACACCTTTGTTTTCCTAGTCACAGGGTGGGGCTGGATATTGAATGGAGAAATTGCCTGGGTTTGGCCCAAACTCCTCCCCTCGCCTCCTCCTTACACTATCCCATTGCCCTGTCTGGAGCCACATCCGTAATCCTGCCTCTGATAGCCTTCTGCCCAGTTCTCAGGTGCTTAGCACAATAAGAAGCCATTTAAGGCTGGAGCCTGGGACTATACAGTGGAGGCTAGCTGACAAACGTCCGGGAAGTAGCCCAGTCATTAACTGTGCTGGTGCAGTTGGGCACCTCACCAGTATCCTTCTGATCTCCTAGACCCAGACCCGTGGCTAGCCAGCCTTCTTTTTTCCTCTCCCCAGCCTTCCTGACAGGCCTGTTCTGACTCTGAGTACCTGTGGCCTTCCCGTTCCTTGGGCAGGGCCATTGGCTCTACAGCTGGGACCATTCTCTCTGATGCTGTCTGGCCTGGCTCCCTCTCACTGAGGTGGCCAAGAAAGCAGCTGAAGTGCCTGCTGTTTATAGCTGAGGATAAAGTGTATAGATATGAATGGTGACCTGGCTTTTTGGCACATCTGCAAACCTGAAGAGCCTCGACAGATTTTCTGACGACGGACCCTCATTGGTGGTGCTTGGCCAAGGAGGAGGGAAAAGCTGCCCCTGTCAGTCTTTATGGCCCGGCCAGGGTCTGTATTGCTTGACCTGATTCCTAACATCATTATCAGAGGGAAACTCCACCACTCTTTAGGCTCCTGGGAGCTGTTCCAGGCCTCCTTTCTCAGAATCACAGGCACAAACTATTTGAGCTTTCTCTTTTGAGAAGTGATTGCTAGTGACTATGCTCTAGAAATGCGCTCAAGCAGATAGAAGGCTGTGGTCACTTCATCAGGCAACAGAGTATTTCCGCTAAATTTGTGACTACAGGAAGACTAGTGAAGAAATGGCACACGTAGCAGCCAGAGACTGATGTAATGGGCTAACTGACAACAGAGTATTTTCTGTGATGCTGAAAGCTACGCTTATTTTCTCACCCCACCCCCAACTCAACAAGCATGTTATAATTATAGTAATAGGTGCCATTTTTGGAGTGCTTACTATGTGCCAGACACTGTCCTAAGCATTTCACGTGCATAATCTCGTTTAATCCTTACAACAGCCCAATAAATGTAGCACTGGTATTACCTAGTTTACAAATAGGAAAGTGGAGGTTACTTGCTTAGTCATAGAGCTTGTAAGTAGCATAGCTGGGATTTGAACCCAGGCATTCTAAATCTTTGCTTACAACAGTCTCTTTGCCTTCCTGAATATGGGCAAGTCATTTAGCTTCAGTGAGACTCAGTTTCCTTCTCTGTAATACAGGGGTAAAAACACTGACTGCCTGCCACACACTGGTGGTGTCAGATAACATTGAATGGTCTTGACTCAAAGGCTTTATAAACTCTCTAAAGTGTCAATAAAAGTGCTGTTCAATTTCTCCTGGGTCCCCATCTCCTGATATGGGAGTCACCGGAGCAACCCTGCCATCTGCTGTTGTACTATTGATGTTGCTGCTGCAATTCTTGACCCAAGCTTTTGATTCTGCCTGCATCTTTCTCCAGAAGGTATTTGCTCATTTGTCCAGTTTATCTTTAAGGAAACAGGCAACCAGCAGGTCATTAAAGCTGGCTGTTGGACAGGAGGCTGGGGCCTTCCTGCCAGAGGAGGGGAAGGACAGCCGCCTAGGCCTTCCTTTGCTCTAGTGAGGTACTCCAACATGACACAGAGTGGGACTCCTAGGATGTAGCAGCAGCATGTGGTCTTCAGCGTTCCTTGATCCTGCTCTGTTCTTTGGGAAAAGAGGCCTAAGACTACATAGAGGCCCCACAGCTTCTGTCCAGGGCGGAAATGGAGAGAGGCAGAGAGATGAGGGTGGGGCCAAGGATGAATGACTGATATTTATTAAGCATTGTATTGGGAGCTTCATTTAGGTGATCTGATTCAATCTTCACAATAACCCTGTGATCCCCATTTTATACTAAAGCCATGGGAGGCCCAGAAAGGCAAAGTAACTTGCTCAGGATCACACAATGCTGATATTTGAACTCAGGTCTTTCTGGCTCCCCAGAGGGTCCTCTTTCCACTAACACTCCCAGGAAAATCTCAGTGGAAACTTGGACTCAGAAGACCGGGGTTTGAGTCTTAGCTTAGCCAGTCACTGGGTAACTGTGTAACTATGGGCAAGTTCCTTAGCCTCGATTTCTCTAGAAACGTTTAGAATGGTATAATGTGAAGGGTTAACAGCAACACATGGCAGCATTGTGCTTCTTATATATTAACTGTCCACATATAGTTTTGACCATCATCTGCTATATTAAGAGCACTGAATTGGGCACTGTTAGGGATACAGAGTTGATATACTAGCCTGGTCTCCTAACTGGCTCCCTCAGACAACTGGCAACAGGTAATAATAACATGGAGAATCCTAAAGTGGACTCCAGCCTGGCTTCCATTCAGTCAGTCCCCTGAAACAACTTTCCCTTAGAGATGTTCCAGAGGACAGCCTTGTCGGTCAGGCCACTGGCCACTCTTCAGTCCTAGTCTTACATGTTTGACAGAACTGCGTTAGAGATAGTAGAGGAAAGTAAATAAGAGTTTGGAGTCACGTGCTTGGGTTTACATCCTAGCGTCACCACTGACCAGCCACCTGACTTTGAGTCAGCTGTTAAACCTGTTTGCCAGTTTGCTTATCTATAAAAGGTGGAAACAATGATTCCCACATCAAAAGATTGTTAAAAACAACCAAAACCCACTGCCTTCAAGTCGATTCTGACTCATAGGTAGAAACCCTACAGGACAGAGTAGAACTGCCTCATAGGGTTCCCAAGGCTGTGATTTTTACAGAAGCAGACTGCCACATCTTTTTCCTGCTGAGCGGCTGGTGGGTTCGAGCCGCTGACCTTTCTGTTAGCAGCCAAGCGCTTAACCACTGTACCACCAGGGCTCCTTCAAAAGATTGTTTTTAAAAAAAAAAAAAACCCATTGCCGTCGAGTCGATTCTGACTCATAGTGACCCTGTAGGACAGAGTAGAACTGCCCCATAGGGTTTCCAAGGAGCACCTGGTGGATTCGAACTGCTGACCTTTTTTGGTTAGCAGCTGTAGCTCTTAACCACAATGCCACCAGGGTTTCCCAAAAAATTATTACGCAGGTTAAATTTGACACGTAATCAAAGCTCTTACCACAGTACCTGGCCATGGTTAGGAGTTAATAGATGTTAGCATTTATTATGAGTGTATTTGTCAGTCTTGAAACCTTCTCTTCCCTTGGCTTCCATGATATTCCATACTCTCCTGGTTTTCCTCCCACCTGTCTTGCCATTCCAGTTGGCTTACCTCCTCTATCCACCGGTGAGATGTTGTCATTTCTGAAGGTGCTTGCTCTATTTTCTCCCTAGACAGTCTCACCCACGCCTGTGGCTTCAGTTGTCCTGCACACACTGATGAGCCAAAGTAAATATCTCCAACCCAGAACTCTTCACTGAGCTCTAGACCCATATATCCTGCTGTCAACTTGACATGTACATTTGTGTGTTTTACAGGCACCTTAGACACAGCTGGACTTTTGGTCTTCTCCCCCAGAACTGGGTCCTTTCCCAGTGTAACTTATCCCATTGAATGGCACCACCATCTACCCACTGCCCAAGCCAGAAACCTGGGACTTCTCTTTGATGCTTCTTCTCTCTCATCCTCCATATCCAAGCCTGTCAGTTTATCTCCAGATTGTATTTTGAACACATCCACTTCTTTGCAGTTCTCCCACCACCACACTGTTCCAGCCTACCATCATCTCTCATGTGGACTGCTGCAGTAGGCTTCTGTCTCCCCACAGTCACTCTGTCACCCCCCAGTCCATTCTCCACAGAGCAGCCTGCGTGAGTGATCTTTAAATGTATACGTATGTGTGTGTGTGTGTACATATGATGTATATATAGCTGATCGCATCTCTCCTTACTTTTACACTACCATGACTTTCCAGTGTTCTTGGGTAAAGACCAAAGTAGTCTACAGAGTTCCCTGTGGTGCGGCCTTCCCTCATCTCCATAGCCTCCTGTTCTCTGTACTCCAGCCTCATTGCTCTTCTTCACAGGGCCCAAAATGTACCCTCTTCTCTTTTGACAAGGGCTTTGTTCATGCTGTCCCCTCTGTTCAGAATGCCCCCCTCTCTCTTTTTGCGTGCTTAATTAGGCAAAAATAATTGTCAAAAATAATAATTGTTCACTCTTCAGGTCTTTACCTGGATATCTCAGCAAAATAGTTATCCTCACCCCTGAAGATTAGGTCAGGTCCCCCATTTTATGCTTTCATAGACCTTTCCTTGAAGCTTTTTTTGTAGTTTTAATTTCACATTCATTCATGTGATCATCTCCTTAATGACATCTGAGACCTCTAATCGTTTGTAAGCATAACTAGATCAGGGGCCATGGGACTTTTTGCCCCTCATTGTGTCCCCACTGAGTTGGCATGGGAGGGCTATTTCTTGAATGAATTTCCAGAGCTGGCCAAGAGATATGATGTAAGTGAGGCCTTCCCCTGCCCTTCCCCTTCCCCTTCCCCACAGCCTTCCCTTATAGCTACCGAGGCTGCAGTTACTGTAAATGGCAGGGAGCAATCAGTTCCGGTCATTGACCATTTTGGCAGATTGCCTGCAAGTGTAGAGGTGATAAGTTAAAGCTTTGTCTTCTGCCCCGCAAGGAACCACCCCACAA